GTGTACATTATTGGACAGACGACAAAAAATTGACTGTTATTTGTCGTACGTATGTTCAATAATGATGTTATCCGATAGTTAATAAGTTTTTTCTGTGATATTTTGAAAATATCATGGCAAAAAAAATTCACATAATCATATGAATATGCCATTATCGAATATTATAATTTTTTTGCTGTTTTGACAGAGCGGATTTTTAATAATTTATTTATATAAATATCGAAATACCGACCCCTCTTTGTTCAGTCACTTTCCCAACTTGATTATATATTTTCTTTTTACATAATTTTATTACAGCTGACTCATAAATTCTGGAACGACAATAAATTATAGTTGACGATGAACAAATTAATGTCAGCAGCATATTAATTCTGACTCAGTCTCGATTTGTCCAGAATTTAATAAAACAGCTGTAAAATGATTTTTCGCTCGGTCTATTTTCAAATTAAATATATATTTTATACGTCATATCATTATGACCAATTTTTTTCCATAGTTCTCTGCTTTGCATCGCTCGGCCTTGTTCAAATTTCACACTTGTTAAAAGAAATAACGTCATATCGCAGAATCAATGTTTCATAGTCACATGGATATAGTTTAAATTTAGAACTCTACGTGATGGTGCACGTATCCTAAAATAGTCTCATAATCGTCTCACAATCTAACCATGTGCGATAAAACCATTACACAACGTACACATAAATGGAAATCTTTAATTAATCAGGATAAAAGCCTTGGTGAGATTACAAATCTTTTATTTATATTGTACATATGTTGTAATAGAGAATCGGTTGTGCCTAAACTTTATGAAACTTTATCGTCCTATCTTTACAGAAAGAACTTCTTTATGCCGGCTTATATACTAAAACTGAGTCATTTATAAACTAAAATTCTTCTTATAATAAATGTTAGAATAACGTTGAACCGTATTTACACTAAATAAAACCAATATTTACTCGTCAGCAACGAACAAATTAATTTTACCAACGGAATGCACAGCCCTACAGATTTCGATGATTTTGATGATTCTGATGATTCTGATACAACAAATATTCCATTTGGAGGAAGGTTAAAACATTATTCTGATGAATGGTTGAATAATTTTGGCCATCAAAATGCTACTAAATTCGTTCAAAGGGGCTACTATCCTAAATGGGATTCGTATCCTCCTCCTTTGAGTGTTCCTCCTATTTCACGTCAAAAAGTTATTTCAAACTTTTATACGATGAGACAAGTGATATCAGATTTATTAGAAGAGGGAATAATACGTCATTTTTCTACAAGAAAACGATGCTTTCTCTCCGAATCAAGTATCAAGCCCAAGACAGATGGAAGTTATCGTTTAGTGCCTGATCTTCGAAATCTCAATAATTATGTAAAAGAGTTACCCTTCACAATGGAAGGAATTAATTTAGTGGAAGATTTAATTCAACAAAGAGACCATATGGTATACATTGACTTAGTAGATGCTTTTTATCATATTCCACTTCATCCAGATGCTCAAAAATATTTCGTATTTGACTTTAATTACGAACGATACTGTTTTCAATGTTTGCCATTTAGCCTTAAAACCAGTTCATGGGTATTTAAAACCGTCTTACAACCTATAATAGAGATGATACGAGAAGAAATGGAAATAAGAATTGTCGCATGCTGTGATGACATGTTAATAATGTCTCATTCTTGGCATAGAGCCAAACGTCACAGAGATATTGTAATTGATTTGCTGGAAAAACATGGTTTTATGATAAACGAAGACAAGTCACAATTAACGCCTAGAAGATCAATCGAATATTTAGGACGTGTGATTAATTCTACGCAGATGACTTTCTCTGCGCCAGAACATAAGATAGAAAAATTACTTGATGAATGCATTTATATTTACAATCAGCGTTATATTGAAATAAGAACATTAACGTCTTTAATAAGCAAACTTCATAACATTGTACGAGATTCTGAATATACTAAAGAGCTACGTCGTGACAAGAATTCACATCAGGGAAGAAATCCGCATTCAAATATACAACTCTCACGAGAGGGCAGACAAGAATTAAAATATTGGATAGATAACATAGAGGAATTAAATGGGTACCCTATAAATTCCACTTGAGATTTCTGAAAGTTTAAATCGCTTTATGTTTTTTTTTTTTTTTTTTTTTTATTATACACATATATATTCTATATTTCCTTATTTTGGGCGTTCTTAAGCATCATCCTAGGTACGATTTTTTAGTGATCGAATAGTGCACAGATAATATTTTATCTATTCTCGTAACTTTTAGATGAAAATCAATAGTAGGAATAGTGATATTATTGAGATTTGTTTAAGTATCACACTTGATAATAATTGTAGACGTGTTCAATTGCTATGCTAGATTTTTTGGAAAAAAAGTTTATTGATCAGAGCAATAAACTCAATGTTTTTACTATCCAAATTTTTTTCTTTGATGGTATAAACTACGTGTTCCGTACTTTACCAATTACATGCGTGTTTAATCGGTTTAAAATACTTTCCACTAATTGAAATTTAATTTTCGACATATTTTGGCCATTGGTTAAGGAAGATAAATCAAATAAAGTTTAAATCTATTCATTAATCAAACCTTTAAGAAAAAAATTTATTCTACTTTTAACATTTTACCTTGAACGGTAAAGTCGTCTCGCATTACCATGTTTAAAATCATAAATTTACTCTAGTTCATGCTTTTTACAAAAATAAACTGATTGTAAAGCTAGAATAAACATTTATATAACAAGCTTCACAATCAATAATACACCACATATATATTTCCTTTAATTCTGCACTGTTCATTATAAAATATTTATGTAACTTGATCCACCATTTTTTGACATTTCAAAGTAATATAGAACGTTTAATTCATTTCATAAAAGATAAGTTAGGCGCTGTCTATATTATTTCATAAGAAATGTCAAAAAAAAAACAAATGTGATTAAGCACTTATACAGAAAATTACCGCGTAAAAATTGGTTCATAATTCCAAGCCAAATTATTTTAGTCATGTGCCAATGTTATTTTAATGCTGGACAAATTAAACGGTTAACGTTAAAAGATTAGAAAAATCCCTAACTCACACATAATTACGATGCATTTAAATATAGTCGCTGAATTAGTTCCCAAGTTTATATTTTAATTACTAAATTACATATTAGTCAACCAGAAAAATTCTATATCGATAACACACCTAACCCATCTTCCTCACTATATAATACCTTTTGATGCACGTCAATATACATGTTCACAATTTTATTAGTGGGTAGGTTTTAGTGATTTTAACCATGGGTAGATTCATGATTTTAACAGTAAGTGGGTTAGTGATTTAATAATGGGAGGGAGTTAGTGATTTCAACATTAAGTGGGTAACCTCATTATTTCAACGGTGATTGGTTACAATTTTAGCAATAATGATTTTAGCAATAGTGATTTTAGCAGTAGTAGTTTTAACATTAAAGGGTTTAGTACAGTATCTTGGTAGTTGGTAAGCTTATAATTTCAACAATGGGTAGATCTGTTATTTCTATGGGTGAGTTCTGATTGCATAATGAGTAATTTCAATGATTTAAGCAGCAGATTCGTGATTTTAACGATAGACGGATTTGTAGTGTCATTATTTTGACAACGGGTAATTGCAATTTCAATAGTGTGGGTTTATGATATTGTATTGAGAGACTCATGATTTTAATAACAGGTAGGTTCATAATTTAATAATAAGCAAGTTTGTGATTTCATTATTTCAACAATGGGTGATGTAACAAATCAAAAATAAAACTTTCATTATTTGTACGTACTATATGTAAATAAATCTTATTCGTATAGTAAAATTTCCGCATGTACATAATTTCTTTGTAACTCCAATGTCATTTTGGTAACAAAAGCAAAATTCAGTTATTTCATTATTCTCGGTATGTAGAAATTATATGGGAAATTATAGTCATCTCCCGCGGGATATATATCTCCCAAAATTCCTTAAAGTTTATTTATGTTAGGATTGTGTTTAGTTTAGGGTTAGTAATAAAAGAAATTTGTCTAAAGAAAACTTTTTGTTAGAGATTTCTTATGCGTTTTTTTGAGAAATAGAGTTTTGTCTTCGAACTAACGTTTGTTTTGAATGTTTCTGATTGTGTTGCATTACATTAAATTGTGCCTCGCTATTGATTAATGGATACAAGAGATATATCGCCCGCAGGAGATGTCTAGAGCTTCCAAATTATATATGGTATGACTAAAAATCTTATACTGTATAGTATGGCTTGGTACTATATTTATTTAACCATACAATATAAATGTGTATTATATAATATAATAATAGTCTAATATTTTTATTATGAGATATATGTTTTATAAATGTTAGAGAAGTAATACTTATTACAGTTAGGGAATTTACCAAATTAGAAAATCATATTCTAGAATGATCTACAAGTAGATTCTTGAATTTGATTGGTTCTCATCATATGTCTTTTACTTCTCAAAAATCACACATTCAAAAAAATCTTTTTTAATAATTATTAAAACCAAATAAGCTTTGAGTATATAGTTCAAGATGTCTAGTTTCCATCATCCCAAAGAATCCCTCATGATAAACTCTTTAGGTAGAAATAAATGAGATGCTTAAAATAGATATTTATTTTGTATAGAATGTTTAGATTCATTGTCAGTTAATTTAAGTTTAGTTTAAAATTTTGTATTAGTATTTTGAAGTTTTTAAGTTTATTTTATATACAGTAATATTAATTTTTAATTTAGTTATAATTACATAGATATTGAAAATAGATTACAGAAAAAAATACACAAAATATTCAAAGTAGATTTAGTTATAATTTAATATATGAATTATGTTGTTTAATAATATATAGAGTAGTATTGTTTAACAGTATAAACTATATCATAATAAATAATCATAAAGATAGTAATAATTAAATAGAATGTAGTTATTATTTAGAAATTTAGTAAAAAATAAAACTTTCACTAATAGTTTTGCTAATAATAAATTATTCATATATAAGATTTTGATCAATTTGATTAGTTAATATTATGTGCTATAAAATCTAGAATCTACTGATTGATATCTTTATACTATAAAAGATGTAATTTTTAATATTCATTTTTGATAAATTACCTAACTGTATTAGCTGAATATATAGTTAATTTTTAGCATAAATAGATATATATAATTATTATATGGTTATAATATATAAAATTAGTATTTTAAACTAATTTAAGTAAATTTATTAATAGTTAAAGTTTAGATTAAGGTTAAAATTTAAATTAGCTTTTATTAAATAAGTTTTATATATTTCTAGCTATAAACCCAAGTATTGCTTCAAATAAAATTTAATTTTTTAAACTTTTTTTATTTTTTAACTTGTAAGCTATTTAAGTTTTAAAAAATAATATTGTAATTTATTGCTATCTCTTAAACTGTAATCTAGACAAATTTGTTTAGAAAATTAAAGTATATTTAGTATTTTTTAAATAAAATAATAATTTATTA